ATCCTCCAACCCGGCGATCTTCGTTGCATCTGTTCTAGCCGGTCACCACACGCTGGAGATCCACCACAGGGTACTGCGACCATTGCTGGGCAAGTGCATGTACGACAGCTCCATGGGCGGCGCTGCATGCGAACCCCTTGAAGTCCGACCATGCCATACGACACCGGTCTAGGATCAACCAAGGTCATGGATCTCCATGCAGCAGCTCTCTCCCTTCGGATGGTTCGAAGCCAATGCAATCAAGCATGGGTTTGATCCCTGCCTTTATCGCTTCAATCTCTTCATCCCGCATTTTCACTTATTCTATAAAGACTTGGAATTGCGCGAGCGCCTGGTGCCAATACTCTATAAAAAAGTGATTATATGCTAAGCATGCGTTCAACACTACATAGGTAAAAATAAAATGCCTGGCACTCATGTCAAAGATCTTCAGCTATCATCTCGGTCTTTTCGTCTGCCTCCTCCTTCGCCATAGTCAGCTGCACATTGGCCTCCCGAGAAAGGCCGAGCTCCATTTCCAACGCTACATATCACAACAAGACAAGATCAAAAGTCATACCTTTCTCCTGGTCGGTACTGCGGCCAAGCTACTCGGCCAGCGACTGGTTCTCTTCCTTCATCTGTTGCTGCTCCACCTCCAACGCTAGGACTTTCACCTCTAGATCTTCTCTGCGGTGGCATTCTTGGAGTAGGCGTGCCTAGAGGTCGTCCACCGACGCCTGCAGACTCTAGTTCTCCTGCAGCACCAGGGCTGCCATCGGCGCTGCTCGAAAACTTTCATGACGTTCTACAATGAGCACGGGGTTAAAAAGATTGCGATCATCAAGGGACACAATAGAAGGATTTCTTTCAAGCTTACCTCAATACAGCCGATCATTGTCGTCAGGTCGGTTCTCAACCTCCTTCTTTCTGTGCTCGCCTCCCCCTCCTCTAGCATCTCAAACTCCTCATTGCGCTAGATACTATGCGAAAGAGCTGGGGAGGCGGAGAGGGCTCCCACACGATTTCTTCAAATTCGATAGCAGCCACCCATAGAGGTGCCCTCCTTGGTTGCTGCTGTGCTCAGCGGGTTGTCCGAGCTTTGCCTCTGCTGTTGACGCTGCTGGTGCCGTCGTTTGCTCAACAACCGTGGGTGGATCCCGTGCTGCGCCGCTCTATGCATCCCCTGCATCCTCTGCTCCTGCTCCGACAGGAACAACTGACGTTGCCACTGCGCCTAAGAACCCCTCATCTCCTGGATCACCCTCATCGTGCGTCCCACCTCCAGGCGAGGTCGGACCGGCAACTGGTGGCTCCTCCATGGCAGGGGCGGCTGGTTCCGCAACCGCTGGCTGCTCCATGGTGGGGGCAACTGGATGCGCTCCCCCTTGTCCCTGCTAGGCATGGGGAGATTTTGGTTCCACCGCACGCTCCACGCCATCAGCAACAGCAGCCTGCATGTCCTCATTCGACTCCGCACTTCGGCACACAAACAATTCATCAGGAATCAACACACCATGCTCAAAAAGAATTACGCACAAAGAGGGGAACTTACAATTGGGACTCCCACCATGCTGTTCAGAACCAGCGCGTTTGCCCGGAACCACCCACTCTAGCATCTGAGCTACCCAGCACCTCCACGGACGCTGTCGGAGTAACCCGCATAGTCCCGAGGGCTTCTGTGGCCGCCTGTGCTGCCACCATAGGAGTTGTCTATGCGGTCTCGCGGACTGCGGTAGTCGTCTAGGCTACCACTGTCGGTACCGTCCAAGCTACCGCTGTGGGTACCGCTCGAGTACTATCGGGCATCGGATTTGCCGTCTCCCGCATCCGCCACCTTTCACGGATCTCCACCCCTACCGGCGTTGATGGAGGATGCGTCATGGCCCTCGAGGAAGCAGGTATTGCCATCTCATCATCGTCCGAGGAGCCCGACACATACATCTACCATCTTCGGGGTTGGGCGGTAGCTCCAATGCTCACCGGTTTCTCTTCACGACGAGATGACCCCATTGTCTTCCTTCTCTTCGGGGACGGCTCCTTGTCAGTAGGTCTCTTCCCCCGGAGCTTCTCGTGGACATACGGTGTCCGCTCGTCTTTGTCTACATCGTCAAGGTTGGCCGAGCTGTCCCCGCCTGTCTCCGAGCTGGCCCAATGTCGGGGACTGCTCGGCCATGCGTCAACTCCCCTTGGCCAGTCCACCGACGGCACCGCCAAGAAGTACACCGCCCGGTCCTACCCACGAATCTTTAGAAACAAAAATGAGTATGTTTCAACAGTCAAGGGAACAAATGAATCCAAAAATAAAACTCTTACCCATGGTGGGACGCCCCCCACATGGAAGGGCCTCTATTGGTCGTCGATGCTAAGACGCCCCGCAATGTTGAACATCATCGAGATGCACCATTTAACTTCATCCCAATTGATCTCCTCAGGCACCTCACGGGTCCCATCGGTCTCCCCTCGGAATTCATATTCGGGATGTGCCCTCTCCTTGCTGGGATGGACTCGCCGGAAAGTGAAATTTGTTGCCATGATCACCCCATCCAACCTTCTCCGATCTATCAGTGCCAAGAGCTCCGTCACTTGCTCAATCCCGTTGGCGCTAGGCCTTTCCGACCACCTGGCGTTGCTAACGGGGATCTGATCCATGTCGCATGCCACATACGGCTCAACCTGTGCCATGTAGAACCATCACTGCTCCCAATACTTCACATTCGTGTTCAAAGGGGTGGCGATGTATTGATCCACCATCCCGTCCCGGAGCTGCGAGTACGCCCCTCCTACAATCCTAGATCCAAGAAACCGCATTAAACGCGGGCCGACGAAACAGATTTCAATGATAAGCGTCGCTTCGACGGGGTTTTTCAGATATTTTTTTCTCTCTGACCCTGCTACAAGATATCTTCGCAATCTTTCAGGAGGCTCGGGGACTACATGTGTACACGTCATCTAGCAATGACTGTACAATTTTTCTCAGCTAAGCTGGGGACTGCTTCGGCACCTGAAGACTACTGTTTTGGACCCTGGCACCACGTGACTACTTCACCTACTGTCAGGCTCGGTGACTAAATGGGCACACTTCACTTGGTCTTCTACAAAGCGACTAAGTCGTAGACTGTAATCGTTCAAGATCCCTGTTTCGGCCCTAAGAGCTAATTTTGCCTAAGGCATTGATGCTAAGCATCTCTCTTCGTTCCTAAGGGACTAATTTCCTCCACGCTAACTAAGTCAGGGACACTAAGCGTCAACTTCGCCACCTGGAACTTAAGTGGGCACACTTCATCTAAGATGAATGCTTCAAAATTTTTTACTTGAGCACCTTATATCCTTCTGGCAAACCTTGCTTTCAAGTGAGTTCGAGCTCGGCACCCAGACAAACAGCTCGGATGCTGGCCTCAACTGCTCGGACAAGCTCAAGATGACATTGCTCAGCGGATATAAGGTGCTCGGGGACTAGATGTGAGGGTATGACCCCTGATATCCACAAGGCCGTACATGGGCCAAGCCGCCAAGAGAGGCCACAAGACTACGCCACACGGAGCATGGCACAGGTCGACGTGCCTCGCAAGGTTATGCAAAGATCCTTGGTGATCATGGATAATCTATTCGGATATGCACGATCCCGCAATCTCTGTAATTCCTAGTAAACGGATCAGGATAGAAATAACCGACCTGTAACCCTACCCCTATGCTATATAAGGCGGGTAGGGACCCCTCTCGTTTTCATCGAATCTCTGATAATACAATCCACCAAAGACGTAGGGTATTACGTCAAACTGACGTCCTGAACCTGCCTAATTGCTGTTTCTTGCGTTCTGTGTCACCATCCGGTTCCCTCACGTGCACCTCCACCGATTCATCTACTACCGTGGGCATACCCCTCGGTAGACAGCCGGACGTATTTCGTCGACAGAAGGTGAGAGCGACGGACCATAGCGAGGCCCTGTAGGAGTACCCGTATATGTGTAATGAGAGTTCCCTTTTTTTGACAAGTAATGGGAGTTCCTTGGAGAGGGGTTATCGAACAACTGTATTGAACTCATTACTCGCTATTCTGTATATTAGACCTCGTCTATCCTCTGTTTCCCTTCTTGCTTCTTCCCCAAATTCTGAATTCCTAGCCTCACGCTATCTGTGATCCAATGTTGTCCTAAAAAGGATATTGAATCCAAGTCCAGAGTGGATCAGCTACCAGCTCGGCTCAGTATGCAGGGCAGCTGTAGGTGTTTTTGCTAAGTTGCCATTGGAAGGAGAGTTGCTCATATGCAGAGCACTACAGCTCGGTTCAGCTACCAGCTATTTCTGCACTGCTGCCATTGGACGCATCCACTGCTGGAGCTGTTTCTCCCCTGCAAGCACTATGGGTATGCATGGAGACCTTAGGAACTTCAGAACTAGAGCCCATGATAAGAGAAGTTCGTTTTCATTCCCCATACATCACTTGTCTATTTTACAGTGTGTCAGCGTGGTTCGTAGCCTGAGTGGAGAAGCATCAGGCTCTTTAGATGTTCCTTGTTTAAGAAATGCTGGAGAGCCTTCAGCATATATGTAAAAGCTCAGGCTGAGAATCAAATTTATGGCCAGGCCATCATCAGGCAATAGTGATGGAAACATGCATGACAACTTTTGAAAGATGCATTGCATTGTCATCAAAGCAAAAGCTGTGATGTGTCCTCATTTCCATAATCAAAGAGCGTACCGTTTAAACTTATATTTAATAAATAGATCACTGTGCCTCAAATCCTGGCATGGTTTCAACAACACCTCCGTGATCGATACTAGAAATTTCATTTTTAAACTTTTAATTTATGGATGAAAGATATAGTTACAAACAAAAGCCTAATGGAGAATAGTCTACTATGTCTATTTCAAGTTACAACCCTAGATGCAGACTTCGCTGGCCCCCTGTGCCAATCAAAAGCTTTCCTATAAGTTCTTCAACCCATTCCAGGTTACATCCCGCATTGGAGCTGTGGCTTATAAATTACTGATTCCTGATTCTTCACAGAGATATCCCGTCATCCATGTTTCACAATGGAAACAAGTTGTTCCTCTGGACGATGATGTTGCCGAGCTGCCTTCGTCGCTGGATGGGTACCAGATTTCTGAAAGGGTGTTGCAGCGCCGCATTTCTTCGTCAGGTGATCCAATGGTCCGGCTGGCCGTGCTCTCTCGCTAACAGGGAGGATTTGGAGTCCTTCAAGCAACACTTTCCTCAAGCACCTGCCTGGGGGCAAGCAGGTCTTAAAGAAGGAGGGGGTCTTACAGACACTGGGACACAGGCCACTGAAGTTGTGACCAGCCCATCTACAGTAGCCTGTCCGACAACAACAAAACCCAGGAAGAGCAGGCGTAACAAGCAACTGAATGCGCGGGTGTTTGGCGCACAATGGATCTAATCTCTAGGCATTAGAACAGCTGTGCTGTTGAGATAGATCACTGGGTAGGAATGGTGTATAAAGGCCAGAGATCTTCTTGGATGGGAAGACAAGAGAAAATATAACAACTCTGTACGCTGATAACTCTGATATCTGCCACTTGTGTGTTAGGAATGATAGGCAATATAAACGACAAAGAAAAGTAGATCAAGCACAGGGGACACGAGATTTTAACGTGGAAAACCCTCCCAAGGTGGAAGGAAAAAAACCACGGGCACTAGCCAACAAATCTTCACTATATCGGGTGAGGTTACAAACGTCGGGGATTTACAACTTTTTTTATCCCAAGACGATGGCTTACATGAAGTATATATAGGGAGGAAAAACCCCACACCCTCGTCTATTAGCAATACGGAACTACTAGATAGTGTAGTCCCTCTTAACGCTAATGGGCCGCTTCGCTTCGGCCCAAGCTTGAATTTGGATCATAGCTCAACAAACTTCACCTTGAGACAAATTTCTTCTTATAGCATAAAATGAACCTTCACCCTGAAACAACAAAGAAGTACTTCCGGTGCCAAATAGCCTCTTGGGCTAAACAGTTATACCAACTAAGCTTGAGCAAAGCTCAAACTTAGCAACAGAAACTGGTTTTGTCAACATATCAGCAGGATTATCATGTGTGCTTATCTTGCATACATTCAGCTTATCTTGCGCGACCACATCGCGAACATAATGGTATTTGACATCAATGTGCTTCGTTCTCTCATAGAACATCTGATCTTTAGTGAGACATATAACACTTTGACTATCACAAAATAAATTAATGCAAGAATCATCTCCACAAAGCTCAGCAAACAAACCTTTCAACCAAACTGATTTTTTACATGCTTCAGCAATAGCTATGTATTCTACTTCAGTGGTAGACAGGGCAACAACGGGCTGCAATGTTGCCCTCCAACTCACAGCACAACCACCAATAGTGAACACATAACCTATGAGAGATCTCCTCTTATCCAAATCAGCAGCAAAATCTGAATCCACGTAGCTAGTGAGTCCCTTATCAGTCCTGCCAAACTTCAAACAAGTATTTATTGTGCCACGAAGGTACCTGAAAATCCACTGAACAGCCTTCCAATGTTCTTTACTAGGATTAACCATGTATCTACTAACCAAACTCATAGCATATGATAAATCAGGACGAGAGCAAACCATGACATATATCAAAGAACCAACAGCACTAGAATATGGAACTCTTGACATGTACTCAAAATCTTCATCCATACTAGCACATTGTAAACCTGATAATTTGAAATGAGGAGCAATAGGAGTACTAACATACTTTGCATCATGCATGTTGAAACGATGAAGAACTTTCTTAATGTAACTTTGCTGACTAAGAAATAACAAACCAGAAATTCTGTCTCTTTTAATTTCCATACCTAGAATCTTCTTAGCAGCACCAAGATCCTTCATTTCAAACTCACTACTCAACAGTTTCTTCAATGTAGTGATTTCTTTCTTGCTCTTGGCAGCAATCAACATGTAACAGCAAATATATAGGTGATCCATCAACAAATTTAATGTACACACAGCTATCAAATTCAGACCTCTTAAAACCATGTGATATCATAAAAGAATCAAACCTTTTATACCATTGACGAGGAGACTGTTTCAAACCATATAAGGACCTCTTTAATTTGCAAACATGATCCACCTTACTAGGTACTATGAACCCTTCTGGCTAGTCCATGTATATCTCCTCCTCGAGCTCTCCATGTAGAAACGCAGTCTTTACATCTAACTACTCAAGCTCAAGATCTCGCATAGCAACAATACCGAAAAATGTACGAATTGAACTATGCTTTACAACGCCAGGAATCTGACTCAAACCTTATGCTACTAACCTTGCCTTAAATCTTGGAGGCTCACTAGGAGACAAACCCTCCTTTTTTTTGAAAATCCATTTGCAACGAACGACCTTCTTGTGATTAGGCAAGCACACAACATCCCATGTGCCATTTTTCTCGAGTGACTGCATCTCCTCTTGCATAGCGAAAATCCACTTCTCACGGTCACCAAAAACAACAGCTTCAGTATACGTAGCCGGCTCATGAATGTTCTCAACCTGTTCAGCACAAGCACAACTAAAGGCATAATGAACAATATCACATTCCTCAATTAAACGTGGACGAGGTCCACAATTCCCCTTTGTTCTGCGATCTGCAATAGACTGATTTCGAGGTTGCAAAACAGGAGGTGAGTGCTGAACAATATCATAAACATTATTATCAACAATTTTAGTTTCCTGATCATCTATGTGCTCCACCTACACACTAACATGTTCCTGCTCCTCATCAGAACCAACTAGTGAAATATCTGTGGACAAGCTGTCATTAAACATAATAGATTCATTGAAAAGAACGCTCCTGCTCATGAAAGTCTTTTTATTTTTAGGATTCCATAACTTATATCCTTTACATCCGGAACCATAACCAAGAAACAAACACTTAATGGCTCTAGGTTCTAGCTTTCCATTATCAACATGAGCATAAGCAATGCAACCGAAAACTCTCAACTATGAATAATCAGCAGGCATACTAGACCATACCTCAATGGGAGTTTTCTTATTAAGTGGGATAGAAGGTGACCGGTTGATCAAGTAACAGGCGGTGTTAGCAGCCTCAGCCCAAAAATGCCTGTTCATATGAGCATTGGACAGCATGCAACGAGCCCTCAAGATGATGGTTCAGTTCATGCGTTCAGCCACACCATTCTGCTGAGGAGTGTATGGGATGGTGTGGTGCCTGACAATGCCTTCTTCCTTGCAATAATCATTAAAAGCATCCGAACAGAATTCACCGTCATTGTCAGTACGAAGCAATTTTACCTTCTTTTCAGTTTGCCTTTCTATCGTTATTTTCCATTCTTTAAAAGTAGCAAAAGTATCATCTTTATTTTTCAGAAAGTAAGGCCACACTTTTCTAGAGTAATCATCAATAATGGTAAGTATGTAACGAACACCACCATAAGAGGTCTTACGAGACGGCCCCCACAAATCAGCATGTACATAATCAAGTGTACCTTTGGTGGTATGAACAGATGCATTGAATTTTACCGTCTTGTGCTTACCAAAAATACAGTGCTCATAGAACTTCATCCTACCCACAGTGCAGCCATCCAGCAGGTCTCTCTTGATCAATTCTGTCATACCAAGTTCACTCATATGCCCAAGACGCATATGCCAGAGATTAGTTTTATTTGGTTCATCATTAGAAACAGTAGTAGCAGTGACGGAACCATGTAAAGTACTTCCTCCAAGAACATATAACATTGCAGAATTCATATCACCTATCATATGAATAAGAGAGCCTTTTGATACCTTACACACGCCACCTGAACCAGAGTGTCTGTACCCCTTGGCATCAAGTGTGCTGAGGGAGATGAGATTTCTGGCCATCCCTGGTATGTGTCTCACATCTTTCAGTGTGCGTATCATGCCATCATGTATCTTGATCTGAACGGAGCCAATGCCCACGATTTCACGTGGGTTGTTATCTCCCATACGCATGACATCTCCACTCTGCACAGGCTTGTAAGAACTGAACCAATCTTTGTTAGAGCATATATGAAACGAGCATGCAGAATAAAGTATCCATTCATCACGACCAGCAACACAACCAGCAAAAACAACCAGAACATCTCCTGAATCAGAATTATGAACAGCGGAGACAACAGAGGCCTTACCATCACCATCGGATTTATTTTTCAGTTTATACGTACCGTTTCTTTTCTCCTTATTTTGCAGCTTCCAACAATCCTCAATGACATGAGTATCTTTCTTACAATACCTGCAGAACTTATCCCTGCCTCTGGACTTCGAACGGCCTTTACCGTTCTTGCTCTTGTCTCGATTATTATTGTTGTTGTAGGTTTTCTGCTCGGGCCTGCCTCTAACCTGCAACACTTCGCCCTTGGAGGACAACACGTCAGACTGAACCATACCTTTCATCTTCTCCCTCGTGTGGAGGGCCTCATATACTTCCGCAAGCGTTAGTTCATCACGGCTTAATAGTATGGTATCTCGGAAATTTACAAACGAAGTAGGCAGTGAGCATAACAGTAGAAGAGCTAAATCTTCATCATCATATTTTATCTCCATCGAAACTAGGTTGGCAACGATCTCCTTAAAGATCGATAAGTGGTTCATCACCGAATCACCTTCTTGCAGCTTGTGCGTAAACAATTTCATCTTCATGTGCATCTTACTGGTTAGATCCTTGGACATGCAGATCGATTCCAGCTTGAGCCAAAGTTCTGCGGCAGTTTTCTCCTGCAGCACTTCTTGCAAAATATCATTATGTAGATGAAGGTGAATTAGAGACAGAGCCTTACGATCCTTCCGCTTCTCTTCAGCGGTCCATGACTTTTGCCCTTTTCCTCCGAAACCATCCAACGCCTCATCAAGATCCGAAGATTGTGCCAGAATCGCCCGCATCTTGACTTGCCACAGTGCAAATCTCGTCTTGTAATCCAGCAGTGGTAGATCAAACTTCATCGATGCCATCGCGAAACCCTAAGGGGAAACCAAGCTCTGGTACCACTTGTTAGAAACGATAGACAATATAAACGACAAAGAAAAGTAGATCAAGCACAGGAGACGCGATTTTAACGTGGAAAACCCTTCCAAGGTGGAAGGGAAAAAACCACGGGCACCAGCCAGCAAATCTTCACTATATCGGGTGAGGTTACAAACGTCGGGGATTTACAACTTTTCTTATCCCAAGACGATGGCTTACATGAAGTATATATAGGGAGGAAAAACCCTACACCCTCGTCTATTAGTAATACGAAACTAATAAATGGTGTAGTCCCTCTTAACGCTAATGGGCCGCTTCGCTTCAGCCCAAGCTTGAATTTGGATCATAGCTCAACAGTGTGTTCCTCTCTCTTGCTCGTTCTTCCTCTTCCTCCCATCTCCGATCCGAATCCCAAACAGCCTAGCCACTAGCACACCGACTGACAGTAACGGCCCAGCACCTCCAAGTCTTGTGTAGCTGGTGCATGAATGCTCCAGGGCCTTCCATTTCCAACTGGAGCTTTTTTTGTTGCCATGTGTGTTTTTCTTTTCCAGCTGAATGCAGCACGCCCTACACATACTCCCTCTTTCAGCAGTTCACCCTTTTGTAGCAAAAAATTCCAATCAAATAGGGATTTCTGCAGCCTATATATATATATATATATATATATAGTTACAGCAGACCTCCCTGTCCATCCACGCATGGCCACATGAGTACACATGTAAAGTGAACATTTCTTTGCTATCAATTAAACCTCTGGGTTTTCTTTGAAAGCACAATTGGAAGGACAAACCACCACATGGGCGGCATGCTCTTGATTAAAAACGGCAAATTAATGGCACACATGTTTAAAAGGCCTGTTCTTAGGGACGCCTATCCAGAACGTAGAAAAGGGGGCTTAGCACTAATGACGCTAATCACCTTTCTTTCCCATAAGCATGGGTAAACCATTCGTAACAATCATTTCTGTCTTCCGAATCCAATCAGTTTAGCATAATTGTACACATGGTTGCTGGCTGGATTCCATGAGGACTTGTATGTCATCTCTGACGTGCTAAAGTTTAGCACAATAGTACTCAGAATATGGTGAAGGAGGGCACGCATAGGCATTATATGGTGACGTCAAGACCAGCTGCTTCAGCATGACGTGCAGAACTGAGATCTTCGAGCTAGTTGCATGAGAATGTTGTTCCTCTACATCTTTGGTGGCTGCCCTTTGCTAGCTTTCATGCTACGACATCCATTATTATCACAGCAAGGAGCTATTTGTTGCTTTGGTAGGCAGAGTATGTAAAACAAAGAGCATGGATTTCAAGGCCCGAGAAACTATGAAAGGAACATAGGTTTTATGTGCCAGATCTCTGTCTCTCTCTCCCCCTCTCTCTCTCTTTGGTGAGGCAAACTCTCTCTGTAAAACTTAATTTCCTCATGTTTGCCCATTTTGTAATTAAAGAGTTGCTAGTTGACAACGTTGTTGTGTCTCAGCAAAATTAGTCTAGTTATAAAGATTCTGTAATAATTCACCAACTCGCTGGGATGTTGCATCAAGTTAATATGACCAGGGCCTCAACTTGTGTGATTTTCATTAAGCTGGCAAAGACAATTGAAAAATGCTTAACCAAGGAGAGCTAATTTCTCTAGATAATAATCTGCTTCCTAAATTTTACTACTTAATTATATATGTGATGAGATAAGGAGAAGGATCGACATATACCAACTTCCATTGATCCAGTAATAAGAAGAGGATACAACCAAACGTACGTGTGCTTATTGACATGATTATTTGTTTTATGTTACACTTTTCTATTTAATTATATATTTCTGATTACATTTGAACTAATTTATATTTTGCTTGAACATTGTTTTACTGGCACCTGACCAAAGTATATTATCATGATGTCAACATCTGATATTTGTCCTGCAACAAAGAGTTCCTGCTAGTTCCAATTTCCTTTTCTTAACTACAGGCAGACATACATGGAGCGCTATGTGCTATTTGCTTAACTACCACTAAGCACCTGTGTTCCAGATCTTTTTATACAAAAAGAAAATGTCATTTTATTACTATGTGAAACTAGTCATTTAATTCATTCTAAATAAATTAAAGCTAGTTGTCTGTATAAGGAAAACATGGAAGCATGTAACAAAGAAAAAAACAATAAGCTGACATCGACATTGAATGGACCGATACATAACATATTGTTTTGTTTTGTTTATGAAACAGGAAGTGCTGCCCCCTACTGATGGTTTTATTAAAAAGAGCTCAAGAGAATCAACAAACGAAAAAGGAAACAAAGGAGATTAAAAACATTATTGTTACAAGTATGACTGTAGTTGTTTGCTGAAAAAGCGGGAATAACTATTCTTTGCTCAGACGTCTAGAAGAACTAGGTGGCTTGGGATGGCGTGGTGAAATAAGGATGAGGTAGCAAGATCAATGGTTTCTAAACACCGATGTTGTTTCCTTAGCCATGTACAGCCAACTCACAGAGTCCAGGTAAAAATCTACTACAAAGTCTTCCCAGCGACATTAGCACACACAACAAAACAGCAATAGCAACTCAGCCAACATAGTGCGCGGATCGTTTCAATCCTAAGCGGAAAGCTTCATGACCGATGAATGCCTTTACTGTGTTCGATATGCAAGATTCCTCGTGCTTCCTATTTCTATCTGCTGTTTTTTTTTGTTGACGTGTTTCATCCATTGATCTGTTCTGTGTAAGGAGCCCTTTCTTTTATAGCCAATTCTCTCAATCCAATTAATTAGGACCCTGGATGCCTGTCCCAGTTTTTAGATAGGAGTATATATTAGTGTGAGGTTCCCTGTACGTTTGCCTATTTGCTACTCATAGAATTATTTACAGCACCCAGATGCATGGCCCTCTGAACTTCAATACATATATAGAAATGAAAGTTGTTTCATCATATACAGCACCCACGTAGCCAGCTGTTCACAGACATCTACCGGTAATGTGAAAGAAGCACCTTAAGTAACAGTTGGCAAGCTAGCACTGAGCATCTCCAACTTCAAAAACGTTTCCCACTGCAAAAACTTACTTTTGGCCGAGGTCATCAAAACTCGATATCCAATGGTATCAATACACGTATCCAATCTTTCCGCTCTTCCGAAAATTCCGTCTGTGCTTCCATGATGTTTTAGCATCTAAGTCATCCTGCTTCGCCAACGTCACCATCTTGAACGCACTGTGTCCGCTGGTCTGTAGAAGTCCTCCGAGACATGGTGTCTCACACTACTGTCTGCCCTGGCCGCGGCATGCTGCAGCTGGCGGAGGCCTGACTGCGATTGGTCACATCTAGCCAACACGATTATAAACAGTGCTTACCCTTGCGTCCTAGTTACTACATTGTTGAGCACAAATTATTGACATGATCAAAATGCGTTCATGATCAATAAGAGTAATGGCATCGTCGCCCATGAAGATACAGGACATTTTACCCTTTCAACAAAATCATAAGTGATGGAACTTTGTTCCATTACCTAAAAAACACAATCATAAGTCGCAGGGCCAGTTGATCACGCACCTCAGACACTCTACCTTGAAATATTAATGTTACCAATCAACCTGTTCACCTAAATTGGCTTGAATCTCAGGAGACATATTCACTAAAAGTTAGCATGCTTATTCTCTCTTTGTTCATTTTATATCACATTATACTTAATTATGGATACGCTATGTCTACATAGCCACCTTTACTTTGCACTAACCTTTTCTGCAGCTGAAAAGTTAATTTTTTTCTATAAAGGTTTGTATATGTAGTAGGACCTTGACCTCCATGGTAGCACAGCATGATTACTCTAAGTGTGTTTTTATATATATTAATAGTAAGAGAAGTGTGAAATTTAGAAACATATATAGGCTTAGCCAATGGTTGTTTAACAGATTTCTCGATACCAGATGTTGGTATTAGGTGTACATTTGTGGCATATTTTTGTTTATTGGTATTAATGGAAGAAATAGTAATTTGGATGCAAATTAAAGGGATTAATTATATTATGTATCATAATGACAGGTTGGTTAACTTAGATGTCAAATTAGAGGGTTTCTTTAAATTGTGTATTATAATGACATAGGCTACATAGGTAAGTATCTTGATGTACATTATGTTGTCTTGTTTTATAATGCTGGAGTTAGGTAATAATTATTTAGAGAACAGAATAGATTGGCGAGGCACGCATGTTGAATATTCTGTCTGTTTTCAGCCAGTCGAAATGCATGGAAGCGTATCTCAATGTGTATTATTGCACTACGGGGCATTTGGGGACACTTCGGTTGCTGCGTCTAGGCTTCTGTGTGCAATCCCAGACGTTAATATAACCCGTTAGTGTTAAACCACCACTAGTGCTACAGTGATACTTCAGACAACAGGACTGATGACACTATTAATGCTAGCTGTCCGTCAATGCAGGAACAATCAAATAACAAAATTTTGTTTTGCCTTTATTTTCTGCGCTTACGTCGCATACGCGGATGTAGGACTTGAAAGCATCAAAGAATTAAAAACAAATAACTTTATCACCAACTTGAGGGCACCAATATGGCATGAGGAAACACAACAGCAGGGCACACATGACATTCTGAGATGTTGTGAGGAAGACGTTCTGAGATGCAGGGCGCTCGACCAGGCAGTGTCGATAGCAGGAGCAGGCTAGGCTACAATCAGGTGCATGAAAAGCGGGATAAAGTTTGCATATCAGCTCCCATGGCTAGAGACAAATGGTCATTGGCGGCTCTCTTAGTGAAGCACCTTGAGGAAACAAAACAGCCAGAAACATTCGATGAAGAGGTTGTGCTGCTGACATTGCTCCTAATTGAATTCCAGATACCTCCCAGTCCCAGCCCTTTAAAAGCAACAATATTGTTGACACTCAAAAATGTCCCAAGGTGGTTTTTGGCACCATGAATAAGCTATAAACATCTTGTACATGTTTGGGGTCAAAAAGCGCGGCAAAATAGTGAACGAAATG